GGCAATTCCAGACGGGAAGCACTTCGAACGATTATGTATTTGACCTCAAGTTGGATGCTTCCAACGACATGGTCTTGGTAGGTGCTACGTATGGCCAACTTAGCGGCTGGCCCCATGTTGGCCAATCCGACATTTATGTGATGAAACTCGAAAATACAGGAACTGTCCCAACTATCCTTTGGACTTTCCAAACGGGTACCACTGGTAATGACCAGGGCACTCACCTTGGGATTGATTCTTCTGGAAACATCCTGGTGGGAGGCTGGACGAATGGAGATCTGGGGAACACCAACCAAGGTAGCGCGGACATTTTTGTGATGCAGTTGAATAGTGCAGGCACACAGCAGTGGACCTTCCAGACTGGCACCGAAGGCACCGACTACATCAAGGGACTTGCAATCGGAACTTTCAACATCATTCTGGGTGGAACCACCACAAGTGCCTGGCATGGAAGCTGCAACAGAGGAGGGGAAGACCTTTTCATCATGGAACTGGACAGTGACGGTTCATCTGTGCAAAAAATCTTTCAGAACGGCAGCAGTTCGGCGGATACGTTGGAAGGCCTTGTGTTGGACGCTGACGAGGCCGTCATTTTGGCCGGCTACTCCTACGGAGACCTGGGTGGCAGCAATGCAGGAGACGCGGATGCCTTTGTCATGAAGGTGCCAAAGTAGTGGGATCAAGGGGGATCAAGGGGGACTATCTAGCGGGTGTTGGATGTTTGAAAAATAAAATCAGGCTGCTGGGCCTCGACTTTCTGTCCAACAGAACTGTACGCATAAGATGTATATACTATTATATACATGGCATGGTGGGATAGATAGGATGCATAGGATTGAATAGGATTTGATAGAACAGAATGTAGATACGGAGATCGATCGATAGATAGGTAGATAGATGAATTGGGTAAATGTTGATGAGATAACAATACGATAGATACAATAGGTAAGAAACGAGGCATAGTATATATATAGAGACAATATAGAGATAGCTATAAAAGACAGATAAAGCACATAAGACAGATAAAGCACATAAGACAGATAAAGCACATAAGACAGATGAGTCAGGCAAATACGGATGAGACAGGTAGGACAGATAAGACAGATAAGACAGACACGCAGACAAGACAGGCTGAGATGCGCAAAGGCAGACAGACAGACAGCCAGCCAGGAAGGCAGACAGACGGACGGACAGACAGGCAGACAGACTGCTACGTATACTTATATATATATACATAATATATATATATAGACATTGAAGATACATACACACAGACAGACAAACAGATGCATACATGCATTTATTTCTTTTTAATGGAAGCAGTGCTCTCATCTCATTCCATCCTATCCTATCCAATCCCATCCCGTCCCATCTCATCATCTCATCTCATTTCATCTAATATCATCTCGTCTTATTTCATCTCATCTCATCTCATTTCATCTAATCTCATCTCATCTCATTTCATCTAATCTCATCTGATCTCTCTCTCTCTCTCACTCTCTGTCCATCGCATCAACAATGTTCCTACATATCCATCTGTGTTGGTGCGAGCCAGCTAAATATCCATCCATCAATCCATCCATGCACCGAAGTATATGTATATATATATAATATATATGTCTATCTAGTTGGTCCATTCAAAAAAACCTCCCCAGTTCCGTACCATCCATGCATCGGCCTGTCAGTTCCATGCAGAATCAGATTTTCATGTTTCAAAACAGACCCGAAAGATGCTGCTGGTCGACCCTTATTGTCAAATCTCTCGTTATTGCAGGGGCTGAAGAAACATCTGCGAGGAAACAGGACAGTGTTCCTTTTCCTGATGGATATCGATGGATATCGACGATAAAAAATAGATCCAAATGGTAAAGTGGCGATGATTTGGGGTCCAGTTTGTTGTACTAAAAGCCTTGGATTTCTATGGCACATGTATCCAGTACGCATTAGCTTCGACATATCCATAGTCCACACGTAGTCCTGCCCACTTTGCTCCAGGTTCAGCAACTGAGCTGGACCTTTCAGACTGGGACCAGTGGTGCTGATGGTGTCAATGCTCTTCAAATCGATTCTTCTGGCAACATCTTCCTCACAGGTGAGGTATGGTGAGATGTTGCAGTCCACGATGATAACAGGATATAGCACCTTAGGATGTTTGGGCCTCTGCCAAGCCATGTTCGAGCATAACACATCTTTCTTGTTGCTTGTTTCTTGCATTTTGACCTGATCATAAAATCATTGGACTGAGCATTTTCACTCTGGATACCTTTCGAGGTGAAACTAATGGTGCGCTGGATGGCTCTGTTAGCTCTGGTGACTCCGACCTTTTTGTCATGAAGTTGGACAGCACGGGGTCGCGTCAGTGGACTTATCAGACAGGAAGCACTGCTCAGGACACTGCTGAGGTGCTTCACCGGGATCATAACCGTGTTTTAGCCACCAAGACACCGTGTTTTCAGCGTGGCTGTTGGCGAAAAGAACTGCGCAGTAGAAATAGAGGGCACAAGAAAATAATGTCTTGACAAACCCTATGTACACACTGTACCTGGATATGTTTCAGAGTTGAGGGGCCGAGAATCTTCTCCATTTCACAAAAGAACTCACTGGGTTGGCCGAGTTTGGGATTTCATTTCAGATTTGGATCTGTGTATCAGGCAATTCATCTTGTAGCCAGCGGCAGCATCTTTGTAGCTGGATGGACAGCAGGTGCTCCTGGGGATTTCTCCGGATGAACATGTGCAGAGCATGTATGCCCCCAATGGTCTGGTCCCCTACTCCCTGATGGTATTTACAGCATTTTGGATGCAACACCTCATATTTTCATGGTATTTGCACCAGTTTGGATGGAGAACTTCATATTTCCATGGTATGTACAGCATTTTGGATGCAAAACCTCATATTTCCATACTACCTATACTACCTACAGGACCTATACTACCTACACTATACTGCCTATACTACCTATACTACCTATACTACCTATACTACCTACAGGACCACATCCACAGGGGGGAGGGGGGAACCATGACCATGGGGGGTGAGGTAGCAATCCCCTCTATTAGAGGACCCCTGGATCTACGAAAGTTGTTAGAACACTTGTGGTCAACGCTGCGGCAAGCTACACCTTTTTGCTTCGGTATGCAAGCAAGTCTTGTGTCTACGGAATGTCCTGCCGTGAGAATGGATACTGCACAGGTCACTGCTTTGAAATATATATATATACATATATGGCATATATTATTTTTCAGACATTCTATTCTGGCATTCTATCTGGCATCTATTCTGACATCTTATCTGGCATCCTTTCTGGCATTCTCTCTGACATGGGCAATGCTGGACAGTGCCTGGCGGTTGAAGCCCAGCAGTGCCCACTGAGATCTGGCGCTTGCGGTTGAGGTCCGGCAGTGCCCACTGAGATCTGGAACTTGCGGTTGAGGTCCGGCAGTAACCACTGATATCTGGAACTTGGGGTTGAGGACCGGCAGTGCCCACTGAGATCTGGAGCTCGCGGTTAAGCTCCAGAGCTCGCAGTTGATGTCCGGCAGTGTCCACTGAGATCTGGAACTTGCGGTTGAGGTCCGGCAGTGACCACTGAGATCTGGAACTTGCGGTTGAGGTCCGGCAGTGCCCACTGAGATCTGGAGCTCGCGGTTGAGCTCCGGAGCTCGCAGTTGATGTCCGGCAGTGTCTACTGAGCTCTGGAGCTCGCAGTTGCGATCCGAGGCTGCCGGAGGAGAAGAAGGACGAAGGAAGAAGAAGGAAGAAGGAAGAAGAAGAAAGAAGGAAGAAGGAAGGAAGGAGAAAAGGAAGCAGAACGTATTTCTGATAAAATCTAGAGACCCTCACCTGGCAGGTGGGGAAAAATGTTTGTGTATAGTATAGAATCGTATCGATATTCTGCGTGTTCCAGCAACTACTTGAGTAGTTTCCCAAATTGCAGAGTTTCTTCCATCATTAGGCTGGCCCAAAAGCGGTTGGCTTTCCCAGGGGACCTCAGTGGAACTTCCGCTGGAAATTTTGACATCCTTGTCATGAAGCTGGATGACACGGGCTCTCAGCAGTGGACCTACCAGACTGGCACCGCATCAGCAGACTATGCCTTTGCTGTGGAGACCGATGCTTCTGGAAACATTTTGCTGGCAGGCTCTACCGATGGATCCATGCAAGGGTCGAATGCTGGTGATTCTGACATTTTTGTGATGCAGCTGGACAGTGCGGGGTCACATCAATGGACTGTTCAAATTGGCAGCAACCTGAAGGATGTCGCCACGGCACTCCGCATTGATGCTTCTGGGGACCTGGTTTTAGCAGGCTACACCACCGGTGACCTTGGGAATACAAATGCTGGATCCAAGGATCAGGGTTTGCGCTCGCGTCTGTTTTTGAGGTGAACATATGGTGTGTTTTGTCAGTATGTAATCGTCAATAAAGACGCAAGGGTTTCGAAACCATTTTTCAGGAACCACCCCCTAGTGTTTGCGCTTGCCGGCTGTCTTCCCAATGCTCTTCAATGCACGAAAAAAATTGTGTTTTGGCAATATGTTTTGGTCAACATCAGGACATCTTTGCAATGAAACTCAGCAGCGCAGGGTCGCAGCTGTGGACCTTTCAAAGGGGCAGCAGCGCAGACGACAGTGCAACAGCCTTGGAAATCGATTCCTATGGAGACTTGATCCTGGCAGGTTGGACTGCTGGTAGCTTGGATGGCAACAGCAATGCTGGCTCAGTGGATCTCTTTGCGATGAAAGTGGATGCCCAAGGGTCCTGGGAGTGGACCTTTCAGACTGGAACTGCAAGGGAGGAGTGGGCCGGAAGTCTTCAGATCATACCTTCAGGCCGCATTCTTTTAGCAGGTTCCATCAAGAATGGGTTGGGTGGCAGTGACCAATCTGCAGAAATGACCAAAAACATGCGAGGAATGAACTGGTCATATTTTGAAGATAATCTTTTCATTTTTCCCTTCACGTCCACATGACTTCCTTGAGGCTTTGGGATCAAAGCCGCCATTTCACCAAGGCGAAGACATCTTGGCAGTGGAGCTTGACAGCGCAGGGTCACTTCAATGGAAATTCGTCGCGGGGACCACGGCTGGAGATATTGCACAGGCTGTGCAATTGGATGCGTCGAACAACGTCATCTTGGCGGGTACCACAGGCAGGGGTCCTTGGACGACTTGGACGACTTGGACGAATGTCTGGCACCACCATAGTCATCTTAGATTGTGACCCGCTTGGCCGATTACCACAGCCATAGGTCATTGTCAAAGTGTCAAACAGAATTTTCTGGATAAATCATTGACACCTGTTGAGAAAATATCCCTTAAATATGTATTAAATTAATGTTTTTATATCCCAGGTTATAGCCATCGTGCCATAGTGCAACATATCCCAAATCCCAAATCATTTCAATCGAGGCGGTGGATTCAACGGCAACGCCGCTGGCAGCGACGATATTTTCGTGATGAAGGCGGCGGCTTTGATTTCTAGCCCCAAAAAGATAGAGACGCATAGAAAAGTAAGATCCTACTTAAATTAATTGACTGGAAATGTACTTTTCTATCTTTTTGCTGGTTTCTATGTACTCTTGAATGTCACGACCGAACCAGCTCTTTCCAAATTCCTTTGCTGTTGTGCCTGTCCGTGGACCTGGGGCGACATGCTACTGCAATACATCATCCCAGTCCACTTAATCATTCGAGACTGACTAAGAATACTAAGATTCTGAATCATTAGAATCTTACTTGGTTTCTTTGACTTGTTCATCGTTGCCACAGCCGCAGTTGCCCAGGTGCTGCGAGTTCCGGATCCTGCGCCAGCTACCAGTGGTCAGGCTTGGGGAATGCGTTTGTGTAGGCAGAGGAATGGACATGAACGGAGTATGAGAACACCCAACCAGTCCTGATATCCAGGAACTTTCCCAGTGATCCAACAGGTCTGTTTTTTATCCTTTCAGTTGCTTCGTGTTGAAGTTTGATGGTTGCATTCGAACTTGATCTTTTGCCTGTTTGGCCTTGCAGTGCCTGTGGCACTGTGCCAAGCTTGTACGGCTGGCGCATTGTGTCTTTAGTACTTTCCAGGAGATTTGCATGCATTGCATGGCATTCAAGAGAGTTGTCTTCTATTGTTTCACATCTACGTCTGGTTTCCACCTGCTTTCCAAGTGTTCCTTGTGGCAGCCGTTGTATAGCTGTTTCGCCGGTTCCCAGACCGTCAATGAAGTCGCATTGTGTTGATGGTTTTATCCGTGTTGATGCTTCTGATCAAACTAACATTTGCTGATATAACTGGTTCCTTCTCCACTGGGGACAGGTGTCCTGGACCTTTCAGACTGGAACTTCTGTTGACGATGTCCTTCTTGGTGCGGTCCTGGACTCCTGTGGGAAAGTGATTCTGGCAGGAGATACCAAGGGAAGTTTGGGTGGCTCCAATGCCGGCAATAGCAATTGGGACGTCTTTGCTTTGAAGCTGAGTGAAGATGGGAGTCAGCTGTGGGCTTATCAAACAGGAAGCGACCAGCATGACCAGGTGTTGGGGCTGGCTGTCGATAGCTTCAACAGCATTGTCCTCACGGGCCATACTTCCGGGAGCCTGAACTCGCAGAGCTACAGCGGCCAGACGGACATCTTCGTGATGAAAATTGACCGTTTCAAAACTTTGCAGTGGACCTACCAGACTGGGCAGAGTAGCTTGCAGGAAGGCACTGGAGTTCAGGTGGATCTCTGGGGTAACATTTTTGTGGCTGGCTGGACGGAAGGTGATTTACACGGCCAGGTGAGTGCTGGGGATGTGGACGCCTTTGTGATGAAACTCAGCTCCGACGGGGTCAACCAATGGACGGTACTTTCCGGAGGAAGTGCTGGTGACTACGCTGTCAACTTGGCAATGGATGCTTCAGGGAACATCGTGGTGGTGGGCTACAGCTATGGCTCCTTTCAAAGCAATTCTCATGCTGGCGGCTCAGACTTGTTTGTTTGGAAGCTGAATCACGCAGGGAGTGATCAGTGGTCTTTCCAAGCAGGAACCAGCGGAGATGAGTGGTTTGCGGGCGTGGACATTGACAGTGCTGGCAACATCGTTGTGACGGGTAACACGGATGGAGTGATGGGTGGCAGTAGTGCAGGAAGTCAAGACGTGGTAGTCCTGATGCTTGACAGTTCGGGCATTCAGCAATGGATCTTACAGACAGGCACCAGCACAAGTGACACAGGCATGGCAGCTGTTTGGGATCCCTCTGGTAGCATCTTTGTGATGGCCACTGCACTTGACAGTTTGGCTGGTGGTGTTGCGATTGGCGACAAGGATGTGGTTTTGCTGAAGCTTGGTGCTACTGGCAACCCAGAGTCGGTGAGCCAACTCGGCACTAGATTCTTGGCAGCATTCCAGCGCTTCATTGAGATGATGAGCAAAAGACGGCAGCTGAAAGAGCTTTCAAGCATGTGGAAAGTTTGGCTTTTACATGCGATGGGAACAGTTGAATGTGTTTCCTCTATCAATGGGTCTGTGGGCCATCTTCTTTCAAATGAATATATGATAATATATATATATATATGTCTCTCTCTCTCTCTCTTGAAAAGAAAGCGCCATGGCTGTCTGTCTCATGCCATATCTCTTCCTTCCACTTTCCAATGAGCACTTGCAATTAGAAAAGCTCTGCACCTTTGCGCAGACTCTCCTAGGCGCCAAGGAGGAGTGCTTGCAGCAACTTTCTCTCGGAGCAGCTGGCAACATTCTGGTTGCAGGGTCGACGTTTCTTGGTATGACAAACTTTGTATGCTACAGCTTGATGTGAAGTCTCGGTCTCCTGCACTTTTCTAATGCTTGGGGGCTCCCATGGACATCCACAATGGTGGAAGTGTGTAGTTAGACTCCAGGCCTTCACAATTGGGAGGTCCACCTCGCAACTTCAAGTTGTTTTTTCTGGTAAAAAAACGTTCAAAGTGTTTTTCCTCGGCTTTGCGCCTTTCTAGTGAAGACCACTTCAAATCAGTTGATAAAGGATCGCATTGCCATGGGTCCACAAGTCCAATGATTCTGAAGGGTTGCCAAGTCCCAGTTGTATTCTTCTTGGCGGTCTGAGGACTGGGGCCATAACTGGCTCCAATGCAGGAGGGGAGGATATCTTTGCCATGATGGTGGCTCGATTTAGTCTTAGCAACGACGAGCTCAGGGCACCAAAGGATACCAATTGATACTAATTACATCTAATTACTAAAGGGACTCCGGGTGAAAGTTAAGATGTCACAATGTTACCCATCCCATGGATCAAGGGCCCAGTGGGAATGTCTCTCTTCACCAATGACTTTTTCCCACGGAAGCGAACTTTTTGCTGGTAGTCTCTTGAAGGGTTGCAGACGCATTGACTTCACTACCCGCTTTGCACTGGAAATCCCATGGTGCCTAGTATTTCTCCAATTTGCCATGGTATCAGAGGGTGAAATTCCTTGATGTACCAGGTACTCGCGCCCACAACTACCACAAGCTCGACATTCACAGTCACTGGCCTCAGTCCCAAAGATTCTGTAATCCATGAGTAGATTCTTGACTGAGGCAAGAGTACTATAGAGTACTTCACTGTGCTTCCTTTCATATCTTCCCTTTGCAAAGCTGTTGCGTCACCTTGTGCAGGTGTCCACAACAAGCGAGTCGAGAACATCCACCATGTCAAGCACTGCCACTTCCATCACGTCCACAATATCCAGCGTATCCAGCACAACCACCGCTACTCAGCAGCACTTCAAGGTCTAAGGCACGAAGCTTGTCATTTATCACATGCAAGTGGGTCACAAGTGGTCCAAAACCACTAGTGTTGGAAAATCCACCGATGGAAAAGCACTGTAGAAACAGAAACAGCTTCCAGCAAGGCCATCGGTCATTTTTTCTTTGCCTGGCTGATTAGTTCCCCGGCAATTGAACAGCACATGCACATTCAAATATCTTCATTCAGTTGCTACTCTAAATGTTCGAGCCGACACCAAGTTGGTGTCTTTTTTTTTCTCGCTCCCGTTGTGTTTTGACACCGGTGGTTTGTTTTGAGTTCCTCACATCACGGATGTCTTTGTGTGCTGCGAATACTTATATAAGTCCGCAGGAAAAGAGAAAGTCTCTGAGAGAAGTTTCTAATATCCTCAGGACTAAAGGATTTGGCCGAAGCGTCGCCGCATCAATTGTTGGGTTTGTATCCACGTCATGAAGTCAGCAAAAAAAGATACTATATAGACACTTTTGAATGCATTTGCACGTTCTTGTTAACGTGGTGAGACAAGAACAGATTTACAGTCAACTAATGTTGACACGTAGCATCCAAAGATAATTTTTCTTTGCAAGGCCTATCGTGCCCGTGATTGAAACAAAGACTTTGGATAGGAAAATTGCTGTTCGGTACTTGAAAGGAGCATTGTCATGAATGCGGTCCAAAATGTGTAAAGGCTTTACTCGGAGATACATAGAATTAAGATTCACTGTTCCTCGTTGAATTCTGGGCCAAAGGATTTGGAGCCCTCAAAAATCATTCTGCATACTCCTTTTGAAAGACATGAGCAGTGTGTGTGTCCTTTGCACACAGTCTTTTTTGACCTTGTGCAGACGTCGACAACAAGCACATCCAGCACTTCCTTGACAACCACAACCAGCACGACCAGCACATCTACTTCTACTTCGAGCAGTAGTACAAGCACATCCAGCACTTCCCGCACGACCAGCACATCTACTTCTACTTCGAGCAGTAGTACAAGCACATCCAGCACTTCCTTCACAACCACAACCAGCACGACCAGCACATCTACTTCTACTTCGAGCAGTAGTACAAGCACATCCAGCACTTCCCGCACGACCAGCACATCTACTTCTACTTCGAGCAGTAGTACAAGCACATCCAGCACTTCCTTCACAACCACAACCACAACCACCATCACCAACACATCTACTTCTACTTCGAGCAGTAGTACAGGCACATCCAGCACTTCCTTCACAACTACGTCCCGCACGATCAGAACATCTACTTCTACTTCGAGCTCGGCTACTTACACTAGTCTTACGAGCGCAACCAGCACATTGAGCACCGCTACCACCAGTGGTACGAGCGGGTTTGGCACAACCAGCACGGCTACTTTGAGTGGTGTTTCAACATCAATGTCAGAGGCTGGAAAGCCCGTCTTTTCAAAGAGGTAGGCATAGTGGCCCCTTTTTATTGAAGATTCAGAAAGATGAGATTAACGACACCTTTGAATACATTTATAACAAGTAAGGTTCTTTTTGGTAGATCATTGAATCCTCAAACTGTTCTATGTCAACCAAAAACCACTTACTGTATAGCTATTGCCACTAGGCGAACAAAGCACTATCAGTCCATACATTGAACCATGCCTGAATCTGAAAGGACATGAATCACGAAATCATAAATTCAGTTCAAAAAGGCGGTTTTTTCAGGATGGCGAAGCCTCAAGAGTCCATGAAAGTAATTCCTTTCATACCAACAATTGCTGCGAGACGTCAGCAGACCTTTGATGCTTTCATCTAGGAGTTCAAAAGATGTTGCGGATCCATAGTCCATCGTCATGAATCGTCACATTTCCTGACTATGGCATGCTACCGGGTTCGTTAAAAGATCAAACTTTGGTTGGTATTGGATGGTAACACTGGACCCCAATTCTGGAAGCCAGGCAGGATCCATTGCCGACACATTGAGGCAGCTGGAGCAAAGCACAGAGGCCCTGCTTCGTTGAAGCCTCAGATCTTTTGGATTTCGATGGTCGCCGAACACCCCATGGTGAGTTCTGTTGAAATTCATTGGATCAGAGAATGTGCCTTCGCATCCTTCTAGATCCAACTTCACCAGATCAGCTTGGGTCATCTTTGGGCCAATGTCCATGTGCGACTGAGGCCAATTGTCTGACGCAAACGGCACAGACCCAAACATCCTCCGTGTTGAGACATCCATTGGCAAAATGTCAGTAATGAGGTGGGCCAGGGCGGCCGGGGCGGAGCTGAACAGTTCCGTTGATGGCGAGTATGCACAGTTGGTTGATGAGACATCCGGCGCAGTGCTTCCTCTTGAGGCCGAAGGGTTGGAGGGTTGGAAATGACCGGCAGATCAGAATGATTTTACAGGAGCTTATGAGATTAGGAATGCTGTCTGAATTTTCGCAGGTGTCAAAACTGTCCAATCCTTGGGTCCTGCTTGGTGGCCTTGGTAATGACCCAGTACTGTAGTGCAGAGGACACCATCTTCGGATGGGAGCACGAACCTTTGATCAGCTGAGTACCGAGCGGGGCCCTGCTCGGCTAGACCTATTTACTGTGCTGGCACTTGGAGTCTCAAAGGTTTGAACTCACTCAAAGTGAATGTACTGTATACATCTGTATACTGTATACACGGGCCACTGACATCCCCATTTACTTCAGAACACAACAAGGCCTCCTACCACCGCATGAGTCACCTCCCACCCCAGTAGAGTCTTTTCCTTCGGCAGCCAGGTTTTGCAGAACGATGAGGTGTTGGTGGCGACCTCCTTTTCTGAGAACCAGAACGCCATCATTTTCCAAGATACAAGTCGCACCTTGTTGAAGCCAGTGACCGGAGTGGTGGATGTCTCCATTTATGATTTGGACAACTTGACAGCGAAAAAAGTAGTCTCCACCAGGCCCATCTATGTGAAGCTGGGCCCACTGACTGAACCTTTTGACGCCACCAGATGGACATGCGCATACTTAGATGGTGACACCTGGTCCACTGACGGAGTGCGCCTGGTGACTGCGGAGGAATTGGAGGCATTCAACCTGTCAGCTTCAGGGGCATGGTGTGTCTCTTATCACCTTTCCATCTTTGCTGGCTTCCTGGATTTGTTGCTCGGAGTAGTTCAGTATAGTTCAGTATCAGATGAAAGCACTGACATGTTTGGGAAGCTGATTCTTGCATCATACGTTCTGAATTCCCAGGCCCTTTGCCAATTCCAAGCTAGTGGCTGGCTCCAGGGAGTGACTGGCTCCCTGGAAACGCCAAATCCTTATGATCAATTGGGCTATAGGCCAACAGCATTTGTTTGGCGACTTCATCACCCAAGTGAACTCTCTGGAGCTTGATGTCAATTTTTTCTTAATTTTTAAAAGTGTGTCTGACATCCAAGGCTTTTGGACTGCACAAACATCAATGTCTTATCGGAGGAAAACTTGCAAGAGATTCTGAAGCCTCGCTGGTGGTCAAGGCCCCCGGCCTTATTTCTTTGGCCTTCGATCGCTCTGCTGCTGGCTCTGATCATTTTGGGCATCTTCCTTGACGCGTCGGTGCGCCGTTCCGGGCTCTGGAAGGACGAGTACTTCCTGACCGAGGTGCCACCGGCTGGGGTGCGCGGCTGTGGCAGCTGCACCGCCTGCACCGCCTGCACCGCCTGCACCGCTGGGCGCAGCGCTGCGGAGGCTCCGAAGAAACCGAGCGCTTCGACCGTTCCAGCCCTACATCACGAGTCCAGTGTGGCGAGCCTGGCGCAGCACCGGATAGACTTGGCGCGGATCCAGAAGAAGCTGCACAGGGTGATGAACCCAGCGATTTCCAGCAGAATTCAGGATGACAGTATCTGGCGAAATACCTTGAGATATGTGGCGCTGCAGCACAAGCTACACATAGAATCTCTTGAAATGCATGTTTGGGGAAGGAATGGTTGGGTGCAGGGCAGTCTGGCTGTGGAGAAGTCGCCAGTGCTTAAGTCTTTGGTCATGAGACTGGAAGGAGACCTACCAGAGGCCTTTGTTTTGATGCACAGCTCGCGGCTTCACCGAGTGTGCTCCACCTTTTTAGCAGCTCACCCTGCTTACACCTTGCTTCACTGTGATTTACATGTCACTGCCGCCAAACGAGGCAAAATCTTCATGGACTGCATCCTAGGCTCTTTGGCGTTCGTTGCGATCTTCTTCTCGGTGGATGGATCTGCAGTGGCTGCCCGGAGCCCAGCAGACTGCCCAGTCCAACAAGCCACCTTTCTATGGTACACATTTGTCACACTCTTCTCCATTCTGTTGCTGGTTGGTGGTTTCAGACATGGCTTTTATTTTCCATTTCATATATGGTATAATCCTTCCCAACTGACTTTCATATTTTTCAGAGGGGTAGGTATACCACCAACCAGGTTGAATTTCATCCCACGCAGTTTGTTGTTCCACTTAGCCTGGAGAGACTTTGAACAACGCGACAGAGCTCATCGCCGGAGGCAGCTGCGCAAGCGACTCTGGTGGGATATTCAGTTTTGGGTTGTGGCTATTGGCCTTTCCTGCCTCCATGTGCTGGTGATAACAGCCTTTCTAGCAAATCTGGGTGAAGCTGATGAGTGGAAATGGATGCTATCATTCACCGTGGTATTGCTTCGAAAGTTGATCATTGTGCCGCTGGTTTCCTGCATTTTTTCAGGCCTGGTGTCGGAAGTCACTGCTTTCGCCCAACCAGCACTGCTCTCAGATCCTCCCAGGAAGTTCGGCCTCGATTTGAGTCTGCGCAGTTCGAATCTCGGAAGACTCGGAAGACTCGGAACCACTGAGTGCCTGCGCAGCCAGTGTCCGGAGCCTTCAGAGCCGGGTGTATCAGATACATCCACGACCTGGGAGAACAAGGTCAAGGAGTTGGCACAGCGTGGCATCACCGTGAGGCAATTGTTAGATTTCTATGCCGACCTGGAGCAACAGATGTCACATTTTGATCCAGACCAGTCGACTACTCATGATGTTGTGCGCCAAGTCGTGATCCCTGGCTCCTTGCAGATGAGAGGCTCCAGGCACTATCAAATCGTTGTCCAATGTGACCTTGAGCCGTTGACAGCGATCTGCTCAGTTCGTGCCGTGAATGGTTCCTACACCAAGCCATGGAAGGGTGGCGATTCAGTTCGGCCAAAGGAGCCATCCTGGGAAGCAGTTTTCGTCCTTCATGATATCAACCAAGAAGCGATCCGCATTAGTCTAGAGCTGGAACAGACAGTCTCCGAAGAAGTCTTGCCGAATTCCAGCTTCCAGAGTGGTTTTGAAGGAGACATGCAACTTGGTGCGACGTCTCTTCACGTCCGCATTGTCCGCATTCATGCCCGCGAAGACCTCCAAGACGCGGAGGCCGCCTCATCGCATGGCTCGCAGAGTGTGGCAGCAGGCGCTTGGAGATCCACCAATAGATTTGGGATTGGTCAACAAGGAGGACCCTCAAAATGAAGTAACATGGACCATTTTAGAAAGGATGTGGATTGGCATTGGGGTGTCCCCCACTTTGATCCATTCCTAAAAAGAACACAGAGAGAGATAGATGATGAATGATGATGATAAATGATGATAAATGTGTTTAAGCCTCTGGATGATCAAGTTGAACCTGTAGAAGTTGAGTTCGCTTGTTTTGGGAGTCCCATCTTTCAACCGGATGCTGCCGACCTGAGTCAGACTGCAGCTTTAGAGGTTGCCATGGCCAGTTTCTCTGGCCTTTGACTTGGTTCTGTACAGGTCGACAGACTTTACTCTAATTTGCTCACGGCTCTGAAGCATGAAGGTTGATAGTTCCATGAACAGCATTTGAAAGAGGCTCCCCAGGTTTACTAAACCATTGCGCATTCCCCTGACATCCTGACATCTTCAGGAGCATTCCACAAAGCCATGAATGAAAGCTCCTCTGTCCAGATTCTTCCGAAGAAGCCCTTTGAGATTGCATCTCGAGCGTATTTCGAGCTACCCGATGTGCCTGGTGGAGAGCCTGCCAGAGGCTATGCCGGCTGTGGTTTTGCCTATGCAACTGCTGTGAACCGTGGCGTCCCGATGTTGGCGTACAAAATGGTGACGCACAATTGGCGCAACAAGTTTACTCACTTGATTGGAGCCATCTTTGCAGATGCTCTACAAGAAGAGACATATGATGGTGTGGTGACTCTCCCGAAGAACAAGGACTTTGACAGATTACACCAACAGCTGGATGAGAGGAATCAACTGAGTGTCCCTTACTGGGTCTGTGCCTTTTCTGTCAACCAACATGCAGGAATTTGTGCCAGAGCACCCACGGCAGATTCGACAGGTCATCCCATCACCACCTGTTCTTGCAAAACCCAGAAGCACTTTGAAGGCGATTTCAGTGACGCTCGGCCCTTTTTTGGGCAGGCAAAGCTTGGCAAATGGGCAATTGAAATCAATTGAAATCCATTGAACCAGACCACTTCGGCCCAAACATTTCACCGCATTCTTGCGGATGGGAGATTTAATCGGGACTTTGTTTTCTAATGTCTAATGAGTCTATAATAAAGTAAAGCCACAAGAAGCACTGTGGCACCAATCAATGGGGTCCAAGAGTTGGTCACTCTGTACATGCTTGCTCGCTGCGAAAATACACAATGAGGGGACACAAAGGAGCACGGATTTTGGTAATGTTTTGTCAATTCTAGGGAGGAACTGACATGACTCAGTTGACCAAGGAAATGAACAAGTTCGATGACATGATGAACTATTTGAAGCGGCGACTGCGTGAAGTCTATTCCGAGGCCCCAAAGGGTTGTGCATTTCAGCATTTCAGCGGTTGCCGACCTCGGCATGTGGGAGGGGCTGACAGATACCCTAGCGACTTTGGAGATGGTCATGGAAAGAATCCGAGAGTAGTTATTCAGCATGTATGATGCAATGATCCATAGTCGCTCTTCCATGGGAGAATTACAATTTACCCTTGCAGAGAAGAACATACTGTTGGCATCCGCAGCATCCAGCATTTCTGTTTGGCAAGAGCTTGTGCATGTGGCAGCTCCAATTTCTGCTTCCCCCATACTAGATTTCATGGATTTCTGAAGCATTTGCGCGATGCACGATCGATCTCACTCTATGTCCACATTTTTTCCTCCCCCCAACAGGTGAGATTGGAGCAGGTTGTTGCGATGGATGTGAACTTTACGCTGCTGACGCGCGTTTGGTGCGTTGCAGAATTGGTTGAAGCTGATCATTTGCACATCTCCCAGGTGCGAGGGTTGCTGCATATCATGGACCTCACGATTTGATAGGGGTTGAGTGGGGATTTGGTAATGGCATTTCAAACAGAACAAGAACAATGCCATTTGCAGCAGCAGCCCAAACCTGGGCATGGCATTGGGTATGGATTAGTGGGGTGAAAAGGTTGGGTATTTTGAGTCCAAGAAGGATTGTTTCCAGGTAATGGCTGCAGCTCCTTATGAATGTTGTGGGGTTCCAGTGGGGTTCCAGTGGGGTTCCAGTGGGATTCTTGTGGGGCCCTGTGGGGGGGTCTCAGGTGTTGGCTGAGAATGTCCAGGGGTTTGCATGGGATTCTTATGGGGCCTTCGAAATATCAAAAAGGCCTCTCCAGAAACGGTCCCGAAGCCATCTTATGATACTACCTATGGACCTATGGTAAATAAATAATGCCTGAGAACCCACACGGAATCAGAGATATTTCATCAATGAGCTGTGCCATGCTTGAACAATGCACGTGCCCAGGTGGTGAAGATTCACTCGGGAGCCTCCAGAGACGTTTGCCTTGGACGCTTGGCGTCCTCCGATGTGCGACAGGCAGAAGCGTCCTTTCCGGCAGACAAGGCGCGGGGGGAACTGAGCCGCGCAACGGAAGACCTTCCAGTCTCTATCAACGTGGACGGCGGGTTTCCAAGGCAATAAGACAAGATGAGACAATGATAAGACAAGTATAGATAAGTTAAGTGATAGTTAAGTGTTCACCTTGCTTCAGGAGTTGGTTTTGGGCAAGATCGAGGATGTGGAGGCATTCAACAAGCGCCTGCAAGACTTGATGCTGCACCGTTTGGATTCGTTCCTAGGGAAACATTCTGCCACCGCTTCGACGCTCTGTGATGAAATTCTTGGAGCAGCTATGACAGTAGCAATGTGAGGAGCTCACGCCTGGTGGGAGATCCATGATGATCCATGTCATTTTGCTTGTGGTCAACCCTGAGACCAAGAAAATATGCAGGAATTAAATTAAATGATAACTACGGCACGGCCAGCTTTTTGAAGTTCATTGGATTCACCCACCAGTGCTTGTTGCGAAAAAATATCGGCCTCGCATTTCTAAATTTAATTCGTGCTCTTGGGCTCATTTTCTCGTGGTTAGCCGTTTTTGCATGTATATACATGTATATACATTATACTCGCTTCAGACCGTGTTTTCTACTTGTTTCACTCGTTAGGTGATGCAGCTTGGTGGATTTGGAAAGGCACAAAATTGACGGACAGTTGGACCGGGGGTTCAGGTTGGATTAGGATGAAATCCAACCGCAGAGCAAAAGTGTTGAAATCCGTTTTTTAACACGGTCGATTTGAATCCTTTCACACCAATGTTTTCCCTTAATTTTTGGGTAATGTTTGGCACAACGCCACGGCAATCGACGGTCTGCATTTTGTTGTGATTTTCGTTGCAAACTAAAACGAAATGACATTTGCATAGCAAAGCCTTTGGATTAAAAGATCCTCGTATTTTGTTATTTTGGAACGAATGCTTGAACGTGTGTGCTCGCTTTTGCGCTCGAACGTGCTAAATTTGCATTTATGGTGAAGCAGGAAATCACAAACAAAATTGACCGATTGACCGTTTCCGTGGGAGAACAATACGCATGGCTGTGAAACAAACACATTACTTTATTATTATTATTGTTGACTTTCTTCACCCGTCATTGCAACACCATGAATTCCAACCCCTTTCTGGTTGTCTATATCTTCCACGGTGTGGCAAAATTGGCGCTGACATGCCGCAAGAATCTGCAATGGTGAGTGTTGCTTTTTCATGCCTGTTGCTGTGGATCAATAGCTGCATGATTGAGGCTGAAAGATCCCTGATTGTTTTTTAATACCGAACAAATCAAACCAATTTTACAGTTTGCTTATACATAAATATACGTGTATACACACATATATATATATATATGTATGAATGTATGTAAGCAATGTAATGTAATTTGTAATGTAACGTAATTTGTAATGAAATGTAATTTGTAATGTAATGTACAGTAATAGAACGGGCTAGCGCCCGGGTGCCGCCGACTCCCATAGTCCCAAGATGGGCCAAAGACAACCCAACAAAACCCAACATAGGCCCAAGACAACTCAACAAAACCCAACATAGTCCCAACATAGTCCCAAGATGGGCCAACATAAGCCCAAAATAAAGTGAGCATAGGCCCAAAGCAACCCAACAGTAGCTGCAACAAATACGCTTTCACGTGTGTTTGGCTATATTAGTTTTCCTCCTCTAAAAAAGGGGGGGAGTGGGGGGGGACGGTATAGGTGAGTGCGGGGGCCCGGTTTGACGAATGTTTGGCCGCTGCATCCACTTGGTTAAGAGTTCATGCACTCACAACGACATTAAGACAGTACGAGCAACAAAGCAACAAACACAACATACTAGCATATTGCGAGACGCACCGCAAAGAACAGTAATTACCAACAACATCAACAACCTCAACAGCACAACAACCTCTAAGACAACGATAACAGAAACAAGAACAACCAGAAGCACAACAAGAACACCAGCAAGAACAAGATTGGCAAATAGCAGCGTCACGGTCACATCTACTCAAATTATAGATCACCATTGTGTTGCATACAATACACTCTACACTACTGCTACCTCCAATCGACTCCTCATACGCACTATATAGATACACCTATGGCATCCAGCACATGCTACTTCCAGCGCCGTCTCACCACTTCCCGCAGTTCCCGCGCCATCGAAAAACAACATGGTGCCAATGCATGTCACATACTGGCACGCTTTCCGTTTTTTTTTCCGAACTGGTTTGCAGGTAATAACTGAGCGCGAGGCCGGCAGCTACATCACCTAAGCTGCTATAGCTGAAGGTGTCACCTGGCTTTGCGGGGCATAGACCGCGATGTCTAACGTTGCCTTCTTAACCCTCTAGCAGCTTTCAGGAAAACTGATCCGTCTAACATAGCTGTCAAGCACAGCGCTAAGCTGAAGGTTTCAGCTAGCCCTGCGGGCCATACACACCTCCAGGCTAGATTCGCCGCAACGAAACAGCTCGTAGCTGAAACCCCTCAGCCAGCGGCGCTTTTTCTCTGACGCGCTACCCGGCACGGCTGGGGTCGGCGGATATTAAGTACTACATAGTACCCCCATATGAGACCCTAAAAGGTATTGAACAAAGGTAGCCACATTTCTGAAAGCACAGTCGAGGCAAGAGAGTGCCAACACACACTTGGGTTTGGCTGAAAGTTTGCGAAGACTTGGCGATGAGGCAAGACTGTGTGTCTAACAATATTCTGTAGTTATAGCTATGGTTCCGCCACAATCCCTGCTGGCAGAGAAGACCTCTGCCGCGGAGAAACGCTTCCGGAGAGCGGCAAAAAGTGGCACAGGAGATTCCGCATGGTGGGCAAAACATTTTGTATACTGTAATCCTTACATGCTGCCAAGCAAATGAGCAGTGTTCAAAACCGCTGTTTTATATGAAGTTCTGCTATCCAATATATTGCGGATTATCACAATCCATTTTGGGAAATCCTATTCGCCAGGGCAGAGGGGTTTGGACACAGCCCAAGCAGACACGTGGGTTTCACTGCACAAGCTGGAGACGGTGGGAGCTGTGCAGGCTTCAGGTAGCAGACCATCTGTCGACAGAATTTCTATCGTGTGATTAGCGAAATGCATGGTGCGAGAATCGATCGTGCTTCAAAGATCCGAACTGGACTGACTTGGAAACGAGTGCTGGGAGCAGTGGCCATCCTGTGTGTCTTGGTGGAGATTGGCTACAGACAACAATGTGAATTTACTGTACTTGCAAACTCGAAAATTGCATCCTCCATTGCTGGAACATTCAGAAAGGACTGCAAACAAGCGATGCACGCATCGCCAGAGACATACAAGCAGGTGCAAAAGATAGTCCCTGGCCAGTCTAAAGAAGTCCTCCCAAGTTGCAGACTTCAAATTTTGATTTGAGATCGCTCAATATCAGAGATTTTGGCTGGGGATGTTCCGCCAACATGATGCAATCCAATGCGTATTTTTCATACGTGCAGTTGGAATCTAGGACCTCCCTCGGTCTTTCAAATGTGGTGGTGTCGAAGTATGTCAAAATGTTTCTCAAGAGTGGGTCTTTTCAGATGTTTGAAGAGACAACTTGGTTTTGCTGCCAATTGCTCGCCTTTTTGTAATCAAAAAACATCAATTGAGCCATATAGTTTCAGTGCTCACAATGTTCTTTTCCTTGATCAACACATGTGTGTGAAATGGATGAAGTGGAATGGTCCCTGTTTTCATTTCTGAACATGTCATGATTTCTTTATGCAAAACCTTGGGCAGAATCATTGACCATTGAAGACCATAGTGCTGAGTACTGATGTCAGTTTGCGGAGTGACTATATACAGATTGTCAATGCATCATATCTATGAGAGGTTTTGTTTTCTCCCACCACTTTTGGAACAGTTTCTAGAGAAAGGTGACAAGAGGATGATGATAGTGTTGTCACCTGGGAGGGTATGAGCAGGCCAACATCTTGACATGGATTCCTCAATCGGGTGACGCAGCTTTTCACAAATTGTGCCGGAGCCCATGAGGTTTTGGGAGAAACTTTCTGTCCTGTTTCACACCTCCCAGCGACCTGCAGAGCAAGCTACCATCAGAGACTTGTTGGAAGATATTGGAACTAAAGAAGCCTCTTTTCTCAAGTTGTGCCCCGGTGGTGTTTTTGAATGAAAATCCTGTTCATGAAAGGTTCATTCTCCAAACAGTTTACTGTTGGAGGGTTCTCAATTCTTTCTTAAGAGGTGTCCGGCTCTGTTCAGGTAGTCGTGTCTGGCCCTCCCGATGTCTCTAATTCATTTGTCTCCCCATCTAGCAATTCATTTACTGGTGGTGTCTGGCTCTCCCAATTCTTTGTTTCCCGATATAGCAATTCATTTGTCTCCCAGTCTCTCCCGATGTCTCCAATTCATTTGTTTCCTCATCTAGCAATTTATTTGTCTCCCAGTGTGGCGGGTGGCGTCTGGCTCTCCGGATGTTTGTCTTCCCTTGTTTCCCGTTTGGCTTGTGGTGTCCGGCCCTCCGGCCAGTTCCCAAGGTTTCTCCACTTGTTGTCTGGTTGTCTTCCACTTGTCTCCCAGTTGTCTCCCAGATGTGGTTTCCCAGATGTTGTCTCCCAGTTGCCTCCAAGGTTTCTTAAGTTGTTGATAGTTGTCTGGTTGTCTTCCACTTGTCTCCCAGATGTGCTCTCCCAATTGTCTTTCAATTGCCTTCCACAATTCCCATTTGTCTTCCAGAATTGGTCTTCCAATTGTCTCCAAGTGTCTTCCATTTGTCACCCCGTCGTGTCCCAGTTGTCTTTCAGATGTTGTTTCCCACATGTCACCTAGTTGTCTCGCGGTTGTCTTGCAAATGTGGTCTCCCAGTTTTCTCTTCGTTTGTTCCAGATGTGCTCTCCCGATTCTCTCCCAGTTATCTTCCACTTAACCCCCACAACACCCAGTTGTCTTCCAAATTTAGTCCCCCAATGATTTCTCAATTGCTTTCCAATTGTTTCCGAGCTGTCTCCCAGATGTGGTCTTCTAATTGTCTTCCAATTGTATCCCTTAGCCTTGAATTTGAAACCGTCGCTGCTGTTGGGTTGCAAAGCTGGGTTAATTGTGTCCGGCTCTCCGGATGTCTTTCTTTACTTCCCTGTGTCTCCCACGGGCTACTGGTGCCCGATTCTCTAGATTTCTCTCCCTTCCAGTGTCTCCCGCTCTGGCTAATGGTTTCGGCTCTCTGGATGCCTCTCTTCAGCTGGTACAGTATCTTTTTATTTGCCTCCCAGTCTGAGTCTTGCTAGTGGTGTCTCCCACTCTGGCTAGTGTTGTCTGGCTCTCCAGGTGTCTCTCTTTCCGTGTGTTCCTTCATGTGTCTTCCACTCTGGCTAGTGGTGTCCGGCTGTCCGGATGTCTTCTCTTACTTTGCTTTCACTTGGCTCCCATCATTTGTCTCTTATCCCGATTCAACTGTCTCCCAACTCATTTGTCTTCAATCATCGGTCTGCCTTAGTGGTGGTGTCCGCTTCTTTCGCCTGTTCGCCTTTGTGCGTGTCTTCCATCATTTGTTTCTCACCACCTGTCTCCCACTTCATTTGTCTCCCCAATTATGTCTCCCCTAGTGGCGGTGTCCTGTTCTTGTTTCATCGCGATTTTATTTGTGATCGGTCATTTTCTCTTTTCTTTTCTCCCTTTGTGCCTTCTTTTTGTCTCAGGAGTTACACCAACATAGACCCCAGATAGCAATAACATCAAAAGCATGTTGCTTGTGATTCATGCTGTTCTCAAGTGAGATGGACTAAACATTGCCAACACCAGGAGCTAGTATAACCACAAACATGCACGCAGACGCTGCAATGGATATGGAAAAACTGTTTGGGGCCTACGGGGGTGTAATTGAATGAGAGCATCTTTGAGCCATGTTCTGCATGATGTCATTTCAGGTCAGCGTGCAGATCGCCACCTACAACCGTCCCTCTTTGGTTCTGGAAGCGCTTCAGCAGATCGAAGTTCAAGATTATGCTGGCAAAATTGAGGCAGCAACTTCAAAACGTCCGTTGTGCAAATGGCCCGCCATCCATAGGTTTGTCAACTGAGTGTTTGCATCTTTGAACATCTTTGAACAAGACTCTTTAGCTTTTTTGGTGAGCGTGGTTTCAGCAGGTGCTGATTCTTGATGATAGCCCGCAGAGCTGTCAGCAAGCAGTGGAACATTTTGCGAGCACATCTCGGCATTGCATAACTTACCGTCACTCGTAAAACCAATTTTGGTGATTTCAGTGTTTTGGAGGACATTCACTGAGTCTTTTTCACTTCCAGCTTTCTTGGTAAATCGAGACTGTCTTGAAGGCAAGGTCTCAATAGTCTCAATGCAGAGTTCCGAGGCTTCTTGTCCGAGAGGCATACAATTGGTGCCAAGCGAAACCTTGCGGTGAACCTCAGCCAGACAGACCTGATTTGCACCTGGGATGACGATGATATCTATCCGAAGGACCGCATTCGGCTTCAAGTGGATTTTTTGCTTCGACATCCCCGCTGCAGATGTGCCGCTCAGCAAAGATCAATTGGAGTGCTTTGCAAACTCACAAAACATACTGTACCCCAAAGGTTTCCAGATTGCCCTGCTCCAAGTCTCAAAGCACCACACGCTGCGTAGTGCTTTGATTCTTCCAAACCGTGTTCTTCATAGCTGTTTATAGGGACACCGCAGCGCCACCAAAAGAGACCCAGGGGGAGGACTTTGCCATTGCTCCTTGCCCCAGACCCGATCCTGTATGTGAGGCGATGATTGAAAGGCGCTACTTTTTTTGGAAGACCGGCCATCTCAGAGCTTGTGACTTGCAGAGTTTGTTTGGCCGGACACCGTCCAATGGATTGGGGTTGACCACGTTTATATAGGTGAGGCTATCAGTGCAGTTCTTTAAAGAGATACGGGCTGTGCAAAAAATCAGCTTCTTTTTTGGCCACCACTGTTACAAGTACTGTCACTATCATCCTTCTTGTTATTGTTACAAGTACTGTCACTACCAAACTTATCAAACAATCCTTCCGTTAAACTATGGGATGATCCTAGCGCCAAGGTCATGATGAGCTGCAGCTCTTTCCCCTCGAAAACACGCTGTGTTTCTGGCGTTACTGGTTTCAGGCGCGTTTCTGAATGAAAAGATGTGGATAAGTTGCTGAATACATTGGAATATGATGATTTGGACATTGGATAAGCTGCTGCTTACAGATCATTACAGATCTACTGTTGGAGCAATTCAATTCCAGTGAAATCCTCAGAGTGGGCTCCCGGCGAGGCTGGACGGACTTTTGATGCAGGAAACATCAATGAGGGCCTGGGATTACTGCGAGGGAAGCGAGGATTGAAACATCCTGGAAGGCGAGTAGGGGAATTTCACAACAAAGGGTTTGTTGAATGTGATTCCCATAATATTCCCATAATGGTCTACGACAATCCCAAACATATTGGGCAGTACAACCTATCATAAACCAACTGGGCTTTCTGAAATTGCTCAAATGGGTACTGTGCAAAATTGGAGAGAGCAAGGTTTTTTCCGATGAACATGTGGCTTCTCAACTTTCCCACCTTTGCAGGGTGGGCATCCTGTCAATACAAGCAGAGGAACTGCCGTTCGTGTACCTCGTTTGGACAGGTAACACACACAGACATGAAGGATGATTCAGCTTTTGCATACTAGCTGTAACTATGTAGTGTGGATGTGGAAGTGAAAGAACTCAGGATGCTGATGTGGCCACGGAAGAGAAGCATCTGCTAGTGTCGTGCCACAACATGATTTCAATGTGAATCAAATTCCCCGTGAATTCACCAGACGTCAAGGTATGTGAAGCATAGTGAATCCATGACTGGCGACCAAATGGTGGCGGCAGCTGAAGGACTCAGATGGATGGTCGAATACGACACACGATCAATATTGCTTTTCCATTGGGTCCAGACTTTGAACTATACTATGACTATACCCATTTTGTGAACAGCGGATTGAGTGAGATGGGATTTCTTGCACATGTGCTAAGCAAAGCTGCGACACTTTGGCTGCCAGGACCTGTGGGTTTTGTTGCGTCGCCTCTCTTCGCCTTGGCGCGGGCACTTCACGGCAAGAGATTCCCTGCATTGGCAGATTGCACCTGGTACACTGCAGTGCTAACCTCCGTTCGCAAACTTCTATGTGCCTGGGCCACGAGATTCAAGACTTCAAGGTGTTCTTAGAAGACACCATCTCACGTTGATGAGCTCAATCGTTTTAAACACCGTATAGTATACATATATAATTTATCTAGATTCTAGAAGCCTGTGGGCAGAGGTTTCTAGTATGTACCAGGGGGTCTGTGGCAAGCTTAGTTGGTGCAAATGGCGACGGCATGACGACGACATGCCCATGGCATGGTGACAGCATCGCGACGGCATTGCGACGACATGGCGACGACACGGCGACCACATGGCGACGGCTTGGCGACGGCATTGCGACGACATGGCGACGACACGGCGACCACATGGCGACGACATGGCGACGACATGGCGACGGCATTGCGACGACATGGCGACGACACGGCGACCACATGGCGACGACATGGCGACGACATGGCGACGACATGGCGACGACATGGCGACGACATGGCGACGACATGACGACGACATGGCGACGTGGCCAGGACGACAACGACGACGGTGAGAACGACGATGACGGCAATGACGAGGACGACGGCGATGATCACGAGACAGGGTTATATAGGGTATGGTGTAGACATAGATATACAATGATATACATATGGCTATGGTTTGATGATGCCGAAGCGTGTTTGTCACAACCAAATCAGTTTTTCGTATGTTGTTTCCCAGATGGGCGCCATGCTTTCTGAATCGGGCAAGGCTAAATGGGTGTGTTTCGTGTTCTGGCAGCATTCAATTTGAATTGTGTTCGATCAATGGGTTTGAGACAACAGTAGTTTTTTTTTGACAGCCCATGAGCTCTCATGTTGCTAAAGTCACAACTTGGACAAATTTAGTAAATCTCAATTCGGGGTTCTTTGATGTTTCTGTGCATAAGTATATTCCCAGGCAGGAGGGATGAATTCTCCGGACAATGCAGGGAACAAATGGCTTATTGTTTTTTTATCCCCCGCCCTGTCCGGATATGAACCCCTTTTGTCTGGAGCTAGGGGTGCGGAAAAAGTGTTTCTCTTTTATGTGGTTTTTGAAACCCCTTCCTATATGTCTCGCCTCTGTAGGAAGCCGTTCCGTGGGGTTCCTCCCCAGTCCCACTGTACGTCTGGATTTTCGGTTCCAATTGGTATCTAGAAGGGGAGAATCTAGGCTACACTTATATTCAACTCTTTGGAGCTTGTTTCGATTCAAAGGTGTTTAGGAAGAAAAGTTGATTGGCTTTCCTTCCTTCAATATGATCGCCGATTGTATCAAATTCTTCGAATACGCTGAATATTGATTTGGTAATTCCTGCACATTGCGTCCATATGGAATTTCACAGTGTCTGTGTGTGTGTATTGGGGTTAGAGAGAACGCGTGGGACATGTGCAAGCATTGGATATGACGCATTATGAGTATGTGAGTATGTGAGTGCATGAATTTTATTCCGCACAGAGTGAGTGAGCTAGATTTCTTTTCTGAATGTGGTACAGTTACAACATTACATAACCCACGCGCTGTTGACAAAGTAGGTGCCATGTGCTAAAAAGCATTCCTCGTAGTTTTGGGTGAACATTGTGACTACATGTTTTATTGTTTTTAAACAAGACTTCCTAGAAACCCTTCCAGATTCAACCTGCGACCATGCATCTAGTGTACCAAGTTGTAGTACTTGACATTGATATCATTGATTTTTTAGCCGGCGCAAAATTCAAACAAATTGAACACAAGGAGAACGCAAAAACGATGGGGTCCTTGCAAGTTATGGCATTCAAGCTCATCAACCTTTGGTGTGAAAGGCTCGACCGTGTATTTGAGCATGTCTGGCTTGAGAGTTCTTGACGTAGCACCTCTGCCAAGCTTCACCTATGAAATATCACCTTGTCATGGGTCAGCATGCGGTGCCTATACAAAAAATACGTTTATTACCGGAGTAGATTTTCATAGTTAGAGCTGGGCTTGGGGAAGAATATCTGAGTAGAACAGCGCAATACTCGTTTTGAAGCAAAATCCCAACCATATTCAATAGCGCGCCCGTTTGGTGACCTTAGTCTTGGTACTCTCTCTTAGGAAAAATAACATGTATATAAAACCTAATTAAACCTACCACTTTGTTGATTGGTGTTCCCAACCGGTCACCCGTTTTGCACATTTTGCTGACAAGAAACTTGCTTTAGGGCACATGAAGATGGTGACTGAGCTTATTTGGCAGTGATTCACAGTCTGGCAATGATTCCTTGCAGTTGGCCCGAAAAGGTTAACAGCCCGGAACTATAATAGAAACCTATCTTGCGTGTCTTCCTTTCTCACTGCAGACATCCTGTTTAAAAAATTAGCTGTTGTTTACCATACAGGGTGCCAAAATGTGCCAAACATCGATTCATGTAGACGATTCACATCAGCGGTGTTCGAGGCCCATCTGGTTGCAGTATGCTGGTTGGTTGATAGGGGTGCCTTGGTAGTCCCCAATACACTGGCTGGTAAAGCCGCCTGCAATCTTCAAACAACAGAGGGTTTTGAACATCGCTGATTTGACATTGATTGCAGCATCTAGATTGATGCGCACGTTTCAAGCATGGCTAGGATGCACGCTGGACTCATGGTATTTCACAACGTGCGTGTTTGCAAAGGGGAGGTGAAGATAAAGGAGATACAGGACCTGTGATTGACACGTGCAAAAACTGGAATTGATATACATGTGGATCATGTTTTCAAGTCCATGCATTTTATGTAAAAAACGCTGATCGAAAAAACAAATATCATGTAGGATTAGAGCGGGACAGACAGATTCAGGTTGCTGTAGCTGCTCGTTGTCAATACGCAAGCCTACGTACTATGTCTTCACAAATTCGATGAAGACAAGGTGTCAATGGGCAAGAATCTATTCCAAACTAAATGCGTTTAGAAGGGATCCAACGTGTCACAATCATCATTCAGCTGGCGCATAGATCCAGCAGACCCAAAGGCAGTTTAACAGTAAGCACAAAGAAGTTTTTGTACACCTTTGAATTCAATTTCACCAACCTTTGGCGTTGAAGGCTGCTCCGTGTACTCAAGCATGTCTGACTTGAGAGTATCTGACTTGCAGGCACTGTACGTTGGCATGCTTTAGTAAAAAGAAACGTCGCCTGCATTTCAATGATGCAACAACATATGCAAAGTGTGCAAAAACCAGTGGTAAAGTGCAAAGCATGCAAGCCAAAAGCTGAACACAAAATAATCATCGAAGATACCCAAAACAATCAAACAGTCATAGCATCACAGCAAGAAACATTGCAAAACACACGCGAACAGATAGAGTCACACTGTCTAATGTTTGGGCCACGCCAGGACTAGAAGAGGCAACGCTGAACAATATGCAAGTGTCATCTGAAAACACGCAGGCGCACCCAAAGTTTGGGAATGGACATGACGGTGAATTTGCTGGGCTTTCTGGTTCGGGGTAAGAAGGACCGGCTTTCCAAATTTGCAATGTAAATATTTTTCTGCGGGGCAAAGTTTTCAAGACCGCAACTCTTCTGCTTTGTCTTATAGTGAGGGCACGCAATCATCGTCTTCCTAACTAAGTTGTCGCGACTTTGTCAACACAGCGTCACCGCATTGTCGCCACATTGCCACCACATCGCCAACACATCGCCGCCACATTGCCACCACATCGCCATCACATCGCCGACACATCGCCGCCACATTGCCACCACATCGCCATCACATCGCCGACACATCGCCGCCACATCGCCGCCACATCGCCGCCACATCGCCGCCACATCGCCGCCACATCGCCGCCACATCGCCGCCACATCGCCGCCACATCGCCGCCACATTGCCGCCACATGGCCGCCACATTGCCGCCACATTGCCGCCACCAGGGGCTTTACAGGGAGAACGACTACCGGTGTTGTTGTCCCCTCGTCATGATCTCTCCCCCATCTTCTTCCCCCGCGGACCTTATTTCTGCCAATAAGGTCCTGTTTGGCCAAAACAAGACCTTATTGGCAGAAATAAGGTCCTATTGGCAGAAATAAGGTCCTGTGGCAGCTGTGGCGGCGAGGTGGCGGCAATGTGGCGGCAATGTGGCGGCAATGTGGCGGCAATGTGGCGGCAATGTGCGGCGATGTGTCGGCAATGTGGCAGCTGTGGCGGCGATGTGGCGGCAATGTGGCGGCAATGCGGCGGCGAGGTGGCGGCGATGTGGCGGCAATGTGGCGGCGATGTGGCGGCGATGTGGGGGCGATGTGGCGGCGATGTGGCGGCGATGTGGCGGCGATGTGGTGGCAATGTGGTGGCAATGTGACGACCACACGACGACGACATTTTTTACAATTTTGACAATGACATGACGATGGAAATATCCTTTAATTTGAAATCTCTTCCTGGTCCTATCATCATGTCGCAGAAACCAATAAAGTAACACGGCGACACGAAATCCATGGATCATCGCATTTGCCCCGCTACCCACTGCGCAATTCTTTCAGCGCCAGCAGGGATAGTCGGGAAAACGCGCGAATTTTCGGAGTCGGCTAAGTGCAAGAATTTCCCGCCGAGGTGAAAAGCCGTTTCTAAGGGGCTGGGAGTGAACCTTAAGGACCATGGCGGGAAAAGAAAGGGAGAAGTAATTTGCAAGCAAAACGCAACCCCTGCTTGCAGAGTGTCACCTTCCACCAAAGACCCAAAATCGTGCCGACGCACAGGCAAATAAAAACATGTTTTTTTGATGATGACACCGCGCTGCTTGCCGTGTTGTTGCAAGGTCGTCGTCATGCAGCTGCCCTATATGATTGGTGTGATTTGAAATGACCGCTATGGCCTTCCAATGCAGTCATCGAATGGGCCTTGATTCGTTTCAAGAACCAAGCGCGTGTGACCTTGGGAAGATGCAAATCGGCACTGTGTATGTGATCAAAAAAGGAAAAGAGAAGTGACGTTAAATGGGTGTTTGTTTCCGGTGCTGGCAGCATTCAACTTGAATTGTGTTCGATCAATGGGCTTGAAACAACAGCAGTTTGTTTTTGACACCGCATGAACTCT